GCCGGCCCCGACGCCGGCCGCCTCGCCGGCTCACTCGCCGGCCCCCTCGCCGGCCGCCTCGCCGGTGGCTCCGCCGATGCCCTCTGGCCCCGTCACCCACGCTCGTACCGGCATTCATCGTCCGAGCCTCCGATACACGAGTGACGAGTACGTCCTCGCCGCCTCCACTGCAGAGCCGTCGCCTCTTCCCGTGTCCGCCCGCGCCGCCCTACGAGATCCTCACTGGCTTGCGGCGATGCAGGAAGAGTTCGATGCGCTCCAACGGAACCGTACTTGGACACTGGTTACCCGGCCTCCTCGCGCCAACGTCATCACCGGCAAGTGGGTCTTTCGCCATAAGACCCGCTCAGATGGCATTCTCGAGCGCTACAAGGCTCGCTGGGTGGTCCGTGGCTTCTGCCAGCGTGCTGGAGTAGACTTCACTGAGACGTTCGCCCTGGTTGTAAAACCGGGCACGATCCGCACCGTCCTCCAGCTCGCCGTGTCTCGCGGCTGGCCCGTTCATCAGATGGATGTCTCCAACGCCTTTCTCCATGGCCATCTCGAGGAGCAGGTGTATTGTGAGCAACCCACCGGTTTTGTCGACGCCACACTTCCCGGTCATGTGTGTCTGTTGTCCCGCTCTCTTTACGGGCTCAAGCAGGCACCCCGCGCCTGGTACCAGCGGATCGCCGGGTTTCTTCAGACACTGGGCTTCAGCGTTACTCGCTCGGACGCCTCACTGTTTGTCTATCGCCACGGTGACACGACTGCATATTTGCTGCTTTACATCGACGACATCATCCTGACGGCCTCCTCCGTAGCTGTTCTTCAGCAGATTACTGTCCGGCTGCGTGATGAGTTTGCTATTAAGGACCTGGGTGCTCTACATTATTTCCTTGGCATTGAGGTCGTTCGGCGCCCGGACGGTTTCTTTCTTCATCAGCAGAAGTATGCACATGAGCTTCTTGAGCGTGCCGGTATGCTCAACTGTCATCCTGTTGCTACTCCTGTTGACACGAAGGCCAAGGTCTCTGCTCTTCAGGGCTCGCCTGCGTCGGATGCTCCTTTCTACCGGTCTATTGTCGGCGCTCTTCAGTACTTGACTCTCACTCGACCGGATCTTCAGTATGCTGTTCAGCAGGTGTGTCTCCACATGCACGCCCCTCGTGACACTCATTGGACTCTCGTGAAGCGGATCCTTCGCTACATCCGCGACACGATGACCCTCGGGCTGACACTCACGGCGTCCACTTCTTTGGAGATGGTGGCCTACTCCGATGCTGACTGGGCTGGCTGCCCTGACACCCGTCGGTCCACCTCTGGCTACTGCGTCTACCTCGGTCCTTCACTCGTCTCGTGGTTGTCTAAGCGACAACCCACTGTTTCGTGCTCCAGCGCGGAGGCTGGGTACCGAGCTGTGGCCAACGCCGTTGCCGAGTGCACCTGGCTACGACAGTTACTGCAGGAGCTGCATCACGATGTGTCCCAGGCTACGGTTGTCTACTGTGACAACGTCTCTGCGGTGTACCTCTCCACCAACCCTGTTCATCATCGCCGGACTAAACACATCGAGCTGGACATTCACTTTGTGTGCGAGCAGGTGGCTCTTGGACGCATGCGGGTTCTCCATGTGCCGACCGCTCAGCAGTTCGCCGATGTGATGACGAAGG